AAGCACTTTATTTACATGTGATCTTCAACCAACTGCTCTTTGCTTTGGGTCAGGGAAAAAGTAAATAAATCAAAATAAAAAACAAACACAAAAAAACACACACAAACCTGCAGTTCGTGAGGCATCGGTGAGACCGGAGAATGTTGCTCCGCATGATTAGAAACATGGCAGAAGACACCCTGCCTCTGGGATACTGGCCCCTGGTTCCTAGGAGCACAGAGTAGGGGCTCTACAGTCCATTTCAGAGACAAGATGCCTGAGGAGACTGATGATCTCCAAGGTCCCCAAGGCAGGTGGAGTTGGGAGTCCCACCCACTTCTGACTCCTCTAGTCTGTTGTTTCCAGGAATTCTATCCCTCTGGAGTGTGCCTGTTTTTTGAGAGGCCCTGAGTTAGGCAGAACTGGTGTGGCAGCTTGGGCAGGTCCCAGTCTGACCTACCTGGCGAGGTATCCATTGTGGCGGGGAGGCCCTTGGGGCCTGTGGTTTGCGCTGAAGTCGCAGCCATCAGCACGACCTCCCTAAGTCTCCTCCAGTCTGGCCCCAGTCTGAACAGAGAGCTGAACTCTTTGAGGCCTTGTGGGGTGGGTATTGTTCTTTCTCTTTTCTTGACTCTTCCACGCTTCTTAGCTCGGCTTCAGTTGAAAAAATTAAGAACTATTTTGTATGGTTTCCCCCGTTGTTTGAGGTGGTTTTGTCTGTATCCAAAATGGCAGAGATTTTCCTCCCATGAAGTTGTGGTAGTGACGCCTGTAGAGCTGTTGAGGGCAGCCTGCAGTGAGCTGGAAAAGAGCAGGATTGATTAGTGAGGTCTGACGTAGCTCGGGACTGGTGACAGTCACAGAGAGTGTCACTTACTGGTCTAGGTTAAAAACATACGTGTAAGCTATTTCTTCCCTCATACACACTATGATCCTGTCGCTGGTTTTCAGCACAGCACTAGATGCATTACTCGAGGACTACGTAAATGTTTAGTGCCTGGGGGGTCAAAAGAGAACGCCCTCAGATCAGCCACTGAACCCTCTAAGCTCAAAATTAGAATAAACCACTGATTTACTCACCAGAAAGAAAGAGGCTGGAGGAACCCAAGGTAGCCCTAGGCCACCCTTGAAGGCTGGGATGGAATTCACCCTCATGGTCCAACAGGAGGTAGATGGCTATACAGGAGAGAACACCACCAGTAGGAGACGCTCACCAAAGAATCCTCACCCACTCAAGACCAGAAGGGTTGGGAAAGAGGATGGAATGGAATTAAGAAGCACAGGAAGTGGGATAATTGGTACATGGTGGGGTTGCAATCCTTTGAGATGAAATGAAGCGTATGATTTTTTGAATGTAAAACTGATGATCTGCTCTGTAATCCTTCACTCAGTTTGCATTTTTTTCTCCAATAAGAAAACTCTATGATAGACAGTTCTCCTTCACACACAGGGGTCACCATTAGCTGAAGCTACCGGTGTCTTGAAATGAATAGCAAGCTAGACCTTTATCAAGCATTCTTTATTCTAATACAGGGCAGTTCTGACCTCCCCCTCATTATGATTTCAGAACTGTTGGCAGGTCAGGGCCTCACTCACTTCATCCCCTCTGTTTGGTTGCCCAGGACACTTGGTAATGTGATTTCCATGCCGCATAAGGATGAAAGTGTAAGAGCTGCCTGGCCACTTTGTGGCTGCAGAATACGCTTCCCTTGATCAGATCTAATTGAGAGCTTTTTACCACATGGTATCCTCAGGCAAGTTCTTCCTCAGTTAAGATGGTGTTGATTCTGAAGCTAACTGAAGACTAGAGTTAAAATCTGTTCCCATTTATACACTGGAAAGAACCTTTCCTAAGGAATGGATAATCGCTTACTGAATGTTACAGCTACTGTGGAAGGCAGCTCCAATCTTCCCCAATAATAGGGTAGTGGTTACAAATCGGGCTGCGAACTACAAGGTCAGCAGTTCAAAACTAAGCTGTTCTGCTGGAGACAGATGGAAAATGCAGCAGATGGATGGCCTACCAGAGGCGGCCAGACTTCTCTGATGCCAGCCCTTCCACCATTCCAGATGTTTTTAAGACTTTGGAGGAGCCAAATGGGAAAGTAAGGACATAGCAGAATCGTTTTAGTTTTCTTTTACCAGGACAAACCGCTGAATCACAGTTCTGCACCATTCACGCCTTCCCTTCAGTGCTAATGACGAAGATCAGTGCTCAGGGATGGATCCATGTAGAGTCTTGAGCGGCTTCCTTCCTCCTTAAGAGTCCTGATGATAGGCTGTGGCCTCGGCAGGGGTCAATAAGCCTGCTTTGCTGGTCAGTTTCAGGTTTAACACCACAATTTTTTACATCACTTAACTGCACTCAGCCAGAACCAGGGGTTCTCTCTTGATGGTTTTCAGGCATACATTCTATCAGTCCACTGAAGTGATGATTTCAGTCATTAGCTTCATTCCCTTTCTGGAAACTAATCTCAAGGGATGCCCTGAGACATTTAGTGAAGGTGGAGCAAAAGCATATTCTGTTTTTCCTACTTGTCTGCTGCTCCACTTTTGAGATTTATGTGAAGATACCCAACTCAACCTAAGCTTGTTCACCAACTGAGGTTCTTAAAAATGAGTTTCCTATTAGCATTGGATATATACCACAGGTGAAAATGCAGAGTACAAAAAGTAACAAATATTTTCAAAGGCTAAAATCTACACACACAAAAATAGATTTCCCATGTAAATTTTACTATTTTATTTGTGAAAAAACTACAAGCAGAAATTCATAAATAGACATTTCTATTTAAAGCAGGAAAATGATAAAGTGGCTTCTAATAACATAGTCGTGCACATGCCAGTAACAGGAATATATTAACATCTTTTATTTGCTAGACAAAGAGCAGTGTCCAATATAAATTTCCCCAAAACATTTAAGACCTGTGAATTTCTGACCAGCTCACAAAACCACCAACTGACACTTTAGCATGAAGAAAAAAACAAACCTAACAGACTGTCAGCTCTAAAGACGTTACAGAGCAGAAACTTCCAAAAAGCGTTATACAAGCTGTCTTTCTGGGCAAATGAAAAATATAGCTCGTATAATACATTAACAAAAATTCACAAGATAAGATTATGTTTTGACATACTTAACAAGCATTCTCTATTTGTCTCCAACAAACAAAGCTAAGGAAATAATGTAACCATCTTTACACAGTAAATTAAGGTTACAAGTCATACACAAGAACAGAACCGCTTGCGCATTAGAAACTGTTCAGCTCCATTGTCATACTCTAAATGTTGGCTCTTAAACCATTTTCGGTTACATACAAGCAAAGGTTATTATATATTCAGCAATTAATAAATTTTCAATAATTTAAGATACGGTAGCTTAAAAAAGTAGACTGAGAATGGTCTTGATAAGGCAGGTGAAACATCTTAGTGGAACTAAACTCACAGAAGCTTCTGCCAATGGTTTCAAATCTCCAAATTGGAACAGAAAGGTTTTAATTAAAGCATTTTGTGGGTGTCAAGATGTCTTTACCTTGTTTTTTCTCTTTAAACTGGGTGACTCAAGCAGAGCGAGTCAGGTAAGCTCTGTGCACGCGCACGCGCACCTGCGAAGGTCCTGTGTGGCATTAAAACAAATGGAAGCTTGAAAGCATTAACACTGTGCTTTGTTTTTGTTGTGTTTTTGAACCTGCTTTCTGTGCCACTGAATACCAAGTATTTTCTGGTCCTCTTGTCACATAAATCTGTAGAATCTACACTAGTGTTTTTACGTGCCGCCTACTAATTGTAGGGCAAACTGCAATCGCAGGAAGTTACAGAATTCCATTTCCAGAATACATGCCTGAGGGATGTTGTGGATTTCAGAAATTCAGAGTGTTTAAGTCCCTACACCATGTCACTACCTCAACAGTCGTCTGATTGCTTAGGTTAACTTTCACTGTTAGCTGCAGTTTCTACCCAAATGGTAATTCCATTCCATTTGTTCTAGAGAGCACCCCTCCCTTCCCTCACCCCTCCCCCACTCTTTAATTTAATTTAGCACGGAGGCAAAACTGAAAAACCAAGACACTGGCAATGAATGAATTAGCAGCCTATGAGTAGCTGGTTTATCAGCTTTTTCCACTATTATGTTAGGGGTCCAATCACTTTACATGAAACTAATTCTGAAAAAGTACACAGTGTTTCTGAACAAAGTGCCTATCAACACTTACTGGTTCAAAAAGCAGTGTAACCCACATGAGTTTGGTGGCATTTAAATTTTTCTTTTTAAAAAAGTTAATTAAAAAACAGCAATTCCTTATACCTCTGGAAAATAAATATGGCTGACTAATTTACCCTCCCTGAGACCCTTAATAAAAGGAATATTAAAAGGTTAGAAGGAATGTCTTTGCAATATCCCACTAATATTAAAATGTGGATTTAAAATTCATAGTCAAATCACTACGTATTATATATTCTGATGCTTATAGAAAGCATCTGATTTCCTTTGGTTCATTAATAAATACTTTAAAAATGTATTTAAAAAGATAAGTACAGCTTGCATCCCAGATACAAGCATTCTTTTAAAAAGAGGGGAACATTGTCCATGCATTTGAGAATAGGACCATAGCAACAAATGGCACTGCTTTGTAATGTTTACCTTTTGTGGACAGAAGGTACCTTGGTGACTACAGGATAGTTTTAATGTAAATGTGAAAGGAACCTTTCCTATTGGCTACTCAAGTCAAGCTGTTAATTTTTTTATTTTAAACTCGTTGCCTCCACAGACAGAAGTTATTTCTATTCTTACCCAAACCAGGTTTTAAAACACTTAAAAAAGTTGATGCTTTATTACAAATGGCTGCCCTCCTAAAGGATGCTGAATAATGGAAATGAGCATCAAGTTTCTGTGTTTGAAATGACTCAAGCATTTTGACTCTGTGGGTATGAATGTTAAAGTCAAACAAAAGAAACCCCCTAAATCCAAAATAAAATAGAAGTTAAAAGTGGGGAGAGGTGGAATCCTATTAGTGGTCTTAGTTTTGTTTTTGCAACACATTAACAAAAAAAAAACAAAAAGGAAAGAAACTTGAGAGAGTTTAGTCAAGTTATCTTTATATCCAGAAGAAAAAGATTACACTCTTGTCATCAGCATGCTCTGTCCCTGCAAATCTGGCTGATGGATGATGCCAACGCCAGTTACAACTTGAATCGTTCCCACAGCAGGGATATGATAAATGTCTCCAAGTCACCAAGAGTGCCACAATGGGATCGGATGTGTGGTCGATAACCCTTCTTCATTTAAACAAACAATAGTAAAATTAAGGGAAAAAAAAAAGACATCATTCTTGCAAGTGAATTGGTAAAGGAAGGGGTGAGCCGAGGGGACATGAGGCAAACAAATTTCAATTACCAAACCACCACTGCAATGTCACATGGAAAGTGGAAACAAGTAATTGCTTCCTCTGTGGACCAAAAATACACAGAGCAGACTGTTTTAATCCTAAAACTAAGAGACAATGTATAGAGATTTATCTCAGACATGGTAGAGGTCTGGAAAATGGATGGAATTCGAGTTACAGAACACCATAATTTCATGAATGCTTATGTAAGAACAGCAATGTTACCACGTAACCGTAATTTACATGAAGACTTGGCATTCTGGAGCTAGTGCAGTTACTTTTGAAAGATCAAAGTCCTCCCTAAACCACTTAGGATTTTTCAGTTATTCCATTGCAAATGCAGGCTATCTGGAGCAGTCTTTAAATTTGAGATCACATTGTTTAAAAATATATATATATTTTTTATATTGTCCAGTACTCTTTAAGACAGATGAGAGAGGTCAAGTTCCCCATGTGAGTTGGAACATACTTCATGTAAGTCTGATTTTAATTTAATTTCAGCACTTTCATAGAAGGGACTGTCCCAGATCTGTGACTGTTCAAAGTTGTATTCACTTCACAGTGTATCAAGCACCAGCGTTGCCATGGATTGGTTTCAAATAACCCTTTATATATAATTTTATATTTATATATATATATAGTTATATCAAAACTGATAGTACATAGTATAACTGGAAGAAAGAACTAAACTTATAAGGATATACTGAAAAGATGGAGTTTGTGAACACAATAAATAAAAGTTCCCTCCCCCCCAGCCCACCCTCCAACAAAACAAAAACAAAACCCAGTTCTAATGTACATGGAAAATTGTGCACAGCAGATTTTTTTTTCTTTTTTTTTATAAAAAGTAGATTCAGGAGCACATCCAATTATAAATGATTGTTAGGAAAATCATATAAAACAATGGAATACATAAAAGTGTCAAGAGTAATCGTCAGGGTGCGAAATCCCTTGGTGGCCAGATGCCCACGGCCAGCAGAAATGGTCCTGGTAGCATCTCTACGAGGCCGAGGTCCACAGAAGAATCTCCAGGCGTACAAGCAGCATGGGCAGGTGGTGGATTTGAATTTCATACCCTGATTCAGAGTTCTCACAATTCCATGTGCAATTTCAGAAGGATTCATCATTGACTGCAGACATATCGCCCTTTGGCGTTGAGGAGCGGGAGGAGCCCTTGTCTGTGCTCTCCGACCCCGAGCTGCTCTGGTTCTGCTGTTCTGACCCTGCACTGGAGGTCACTGTGGACGAGGATGTTGACGAGGAGCGAGTCTTTTCCTTAAAGTCTGTGATAATGACGGTGACGTTGCCCACAGTTACTGCCAACTGCTGTGCGGTACTCCGGTCCACGTTTTTCAGCCGGGGCCTGAAAACAACGCCACAGGACAACACGCTATTAAACAAGCTACAGATTTAAACTCTCTCCAGCAGAACATCATCAGTTACACAGTGAATCTACCACACATACCAACATTCAGTACAAAGTGTGCTGATTAACTTTAGCAATGACAGAAAATGACCATCAGCTAGCATAACTTTGGACCACAAACAACTACTATATATCTTTCTCTTTCATCCTGTGTTTGTCACAGTTTATAGGACAAGCAGCTTTTATTGTGTGTGTGTGAGGGGAGGGGGGGTGGTTAGTAGTTCCACACCCAGCTTGTCACCCCACCCTTCAAACCCACAGGTACAAAGCCAGACACTCATTAAGGACATCAGAGCAGCAATGATTGTATTCTTGTTTCAAAGTACCTTGAGGTGTGATTTGTTTCACTGGTCTTTGTGGTAGCATTTGCAGACTGTATACTGTTTGCTTCGCTAGGAGGATCTTTCAGAATATCAGACTTTGGTCTAAAAGAGGGGGATTTATAAAAAGAGGCATTTAAAAAGCTATCCTTGATTCACCAGCAAAATCAGGTAATACACTTAGTTAATACAGTTAGGCACTAACTTTGTTTTCTTGGTGGTGTTCTTCTTGGTGACACTAGGACTAATTTCCTTCTCTTTCTCAGGTTTCTCTTTGTCTTGTTTTTCAACTTTCTCTTTTTTCTCCTTTTTAGGTGGTGGGGGAGTAGCATACTGTTGGGCTACTTGTTGTGCAACCAGTTGAGAATTTATCCGAGGTTTTCTAAGAGTCAAGAAAAGACACAGTCATTATTTACTTTATTTAGATAACCAAAATGAAATTACATGGTATTACTTCTATGTTTCATATATAAATCCATAATATGTTTCACTTCTCAAATCTACTCTGTGTTTCTGTGGAATACACATGTGGTCACACCACGTGTGTACTCCCGTACAGGGAGAGTATTTCAACCAATAAAACCTGACACTGGGTTCTAAGACTGCTGAGAACCACTTCCTCTGAGCTGTCAAGCTTATACTGACTGACAGCTTTCAAATACTCCTGCGTCAAAGGGCTAACCTCATTTTCTTAAATGGACACTGGTAATCCCTTGAAAAGAGAATGAAATTAGAAGTGTGACATTCTCTCCTCAATCTAATTATTCCGACATGGTCTGCTCCCCTGCAGCTCTGTGATTGGCAGGGACAACATATACAGAGCAATAAAAGGTAACTGTGGTTCATACGAGCTCCCAGGGGGGTGAAGATTGAAAGTCACTACAAAAAAAAAAAAAAATCTTACACAAGTGAGACATTCATTGTGCCATCAACAATTAAGTCTGTGCCAATCTCCAACTGACACTGATTCTTAGCACTATTGTTTACAATTCTAAGTGGGGCCAAACACTTTTCACAGTGCACGGTCATTCACAGGCCCAAACAGGAAAGGGAGAAAGCAAAGCCTAAGCATTATTTCTTGATAATATGAATTTTCAAAGACATTTACAGAAAAACAAATATCCAAATGGGTCATTAATGAGGTGAAGCAACTAGTGTCCAAAAAGGCTCAGCTTCAGATGCTAAAGTTCCCTCTCCATTCCCCAGGATAAAGGCGAGGACCTGCCTATGGGTGAGCCAGTGGTGGGGGACTGGAAACAACACCCAACCTAGAAAAACAACATAAAGCTTCCTCCTGAGTGCCAGAACACAAAGATTCAAACCAATCCAATACATAAAGGAGCCCAGTTGTTAGGTATACAACAGCATGCTGACTACCTACATTAATCCTGCTTACTAAGGAGCTCTGGTAGCACAGTGGTTACAAATCGGGCTGCGAACCTGAAGGTCAGCAGTTCCATACTACCAGTGGTTCCGTGGGAGAAAGATGAGGCTTTCTGCTCCCATAATGATTTATAGCCTCGGAACCGACTCCAAGTCACATAAAAACAACATAGGAGAAACCCTTTGGCAGTGATGTGATGTGGATGACAAGGCATGTGAGAGGGAGAACAGATGCTGTCAGGTGAGAGAGACATCCAGCAACAAATTTAGATCCTGTGATGAACATCAGTAAGAAGTAAAAATCGATTATTAAGTAAGGCCATGCAGGCTACCCTCATTTCTACTCATCAATCAGTAAGTTATTTGACATTCAATGCCCATGCCCAATGTCACACAGCTATTTAAGAGCATAAAGGGCAGGAGCAGGTCTAGAACACAGATTTTTGTTTTTCAAACTAGTACTTCTATCGTGACATTAACAAGGTTGGCACAAGTGTTGAAAACGTTGGTTTGTTTTGGGTGTTTCAATGCTGGGTCAACTGTAGTGTGGCTTTGGAAGAAGCCACACAGCAAGATACCATCTTTGTGCACATTTCCTATTGGTCTCCAGCAACACAACCTTGGTAACAGAGATGGTCACAGCCTACACTTGAAATGCACCTCAGCCCAGGTCATACTCGGTGGTCTCACTGTCACTGAGTAATGAAGGGATACGAACATATGTGGAAGGATCCCCTGAGAAAGAAGAATGCACTTAAATCAAAGCGCTCCCCCAGTCCCAAGCATATATGCAACCTCCAGAGAAAGCTAACTTTCTTTTCTACAGATTCTAACAGCAGAAGCCATTCTAACACACTGTTCCTTTCCAGAGAAATCACGACTGTGTTAATACTTACAAAGATAATCATCACTACAAACCATTTCACACAAGCACTCATTGGTTGGGTAAACAAACATCAGCTGTCTATGGGGATTAGCGAGTGGTTTAAATCAAGAGAGAAAATGAACCGCCATACATTACCTAATACACAGGTATCAATGAATTAACTCAAGTCCCAATGCTAATAATGCAAGCAAACCATTAAAATTTTAGCAAATACTACATCTTGAGAAAGAATGTTAATAAAAGCAATATATTGTACTTACTCATGTGGTGCGTCTGCCCCTGTCTATGGGGCTGGGCGCCCAATTTTGCAAAATCGAATAAAGAAAATCTCACTCTTGCTAAAATGAGTACAGATTAGATTACTTGAGCGTTTGTCAGTATAGACAACCTTTCTCACAAATTTGGGGGCCAGGTCCAGGATTTTCTGCCCGCTTGGAGTGGCAGCCCTGGTGGAAAAGGAGACATGTTCTGCCTTGGTTTTGGCAGCCTACTCCCAGCAAGAGCCTGAAAAAGACTGTTAAAAGGTGATCAGAATTAGCGCAAGAGATGTGGAGGACTGAAGAGAGAGTAACTGCAATGACCAGGCAAGCTGTGTACAGACCAGGGCAGGAAAATTGGGCTGTAAGTATTACCCTGGTGGTCAGGCAGTTTTTGGGGGTCACTGTGTGTCTGAGATGTATCTTGGATGCAAAGTGAGTGCGGAGTCCCAATCCGGTTGGAGAGGGGCAAAGCGAAATCTTGGGGTTGTATACAAGAAATCACCCTGAGTACTCAAACAAGGGGAAATTCTGGAAGGTTGAGTATGCAAGGGAACTCAGACACCAAGACCAAAAGAAAATGGGGAACAGAATTCTAGGCCATGGGAAGAAGGGAGCAGGAGAGACTCCCACAGACATTCCTCCTGCCAGTCCTTTGGGGAGAATATTACGGGCTTGGGGGGCCAAAAGAACTAATCCATTCACAATCTGTGTTCTGGCCTCACTTCAGTCCCAATGAGGACTGGGTCTGCCAGGCCCTAGTCCTTCATGTAAACAATAGAACTCAGCCTCCTCAGAAGGAGACAGCCTATGTTCCTTGTTGGTTATTAGTAAGGGGAGCGGAATCAGTTCTGAAGATGTTCTCCCTTAAAGGATGGAGACCAAGACAAAAAGACTGAGGCAATGGACTGTTAAGAGAAGCTCAGAAAGTTTCTGTAAGGAGAGAGGAGGAAAAACCGAGGCAGAAAGCCAGAATCATGGCATCTACTGTGAATATAATAGTAAACAAGAGGCTAGAACAACACCCCATTCTCAAAGGAAGTGGAACAGTGATTACAGTTAGGCCTCTTCAGAGGAAAGGGAGGAGAGGACTGGACCAAGTCCCCAAGCCCACCAGCGGATGAATGTTGGGGGAAGACAGGCCATTTCGAAAGAGAATGTCCAGAGATAAAGAAGCAAAGGAAAAATGATTCCCGTCATGAAACTAGAAATCAACTTTTGAATCTTTTGTAACAGTACCTAATTGTAAGATTGGGTTAGGATTAGAGAGGGCCAGGGGTAGATAAAGGTAAATATGAGACCTCTATTGAAGAGGAGAAAGGAAAGATTGACTCGTGGATGTGGTTTAAAGAAGGCAACGGGAGAGCTGGAACCTCCACTCTTGGAGTGGAAACTAAAAGGAAAACTGGGGGAGATGGTCCATAGAAGACAATCACCTATCCACATAGAAGGGAGAAAGGGTCTGCAGCCAGTAATCAAGGGCAGTGATTATTTTGTGTTTGGTGTGGTAGTTTTCTAATAAAATTCTTACACAGACTATTTGAGTTTATAATGCAAAATTCTGAGTTTGCACATTCAAGGTGAAACTTCAGTGTGCAATCGG